CCTTGAGATCTTGGCTGAGCTGAGAGCTTCTGTCCAGCATGTCTTCCTCCCCACACCTCTTCCTGATCCCAGGACTCCACATGGCCCAGGCCTAAAGATCTCATGAAGCTTCAGGGCACTGCAAAGCAGTTCTGAAGTGTAGTCAGCCAGGTTGCCCTTTAAATTTTGTTAGTCTGTACTTAGATTCATGAGCCTTGAGGATACACAATCAGTCAAACAGTGGGCAAGACATGGGGGTAAAGAAAATTTTTTAAAAGAAGCAAACCCCCTTAGTGATCACGACCAGTTGTGCTTGGAGTTGCATATTTCCTAAAACTACAGCTGTTTCTCTAGAGCATCCCAGTTTCCCTGCCTGTTCTGCTGGCTCCCTAAGGCGTTCAGCTGACTCATCAACACATCCTACAGTGGTTTTTGCTGGTGGTGCCAGGGTTGTGTTCACCATCTGAGTACAGTAAAAAAGGCACAATGGTTGCATTTCATTAACTGAAATGTCTATTGTGCCAGCGTCTCTATTCCCCCTTTCACTTGGCGATGTCCAGAAAGTGTGTGCTGGAACGTGGGTGGCGTAGGCGCCAGCTAGAAGCTGACCTTGCTTTTCACTGTTGACCCCAAGCCACAAGACAATAAAGGGTTTACTCTGCAGAGTGATTTTGGCTTTGTCTTTGTATGTAGGGCTTTTCCAAGGCTCATTCTTTCTGTCTTCCATTTTGGCAGGTGTCCCCCTGCAGACTCCAGACAGTGGCAAGCTCAGGACAGCCAATTCCTTTAAAACCCAGTGACTTGGCAGTTAGGCAGGGCTGACATTTGGAAGTGTGCCTCGGGTCCATCCTCCCTACTTGAGGCATTCTTTTTTTTTTTTAATTTTTATTTATTTATTTATGTGTGTGTGTGTGTGGCCAGCTCAGCCCACTAGGGGGTGGGGCTGACTGGCATGTGGTGCTGGGGGATTGAACCGTGGTCCCTGTGCTTTGCTAAGCTTGTTCTAAGTAGGTGTTTAGACCACTGAACCATCTCACCAGCCCCCTTGAGGCATTCTTGGATGATGTGGCATTGGCACCCGAGGTGGCATTAGCTGATGGATTTGTTTTATGAAAGTCAGGGTGTGAGTAGCTCTTGTGCAGTAAGACAAAGGCTGATCCTTTTCCTGAGGTCCCTTCTCACACAGGGAGCTGATACCCCAACGACTTTTGTCAAGAGCCACCTGTGTATTGAACACGTTTTCTTTTCTAATAAAAATGTAGCTAGGACTTAGACTTGGAGCACTACATTGCTTTTGCTGCACTGAAAAGATTTCTTATTCTTTTGGGATATTTTTCTCTTTGAAACCTCCTCTGCTACCTCAAATCCCACTTTTCTACTCATTAATAATGTGGCAATTGTCAAGGTCAGTGAATTTTATTTACAAAAAGTCTGCCCATGAGATTCAGGCTCTAAATGGCTGGCTTTATAAAGTTTAGCTAATTACATCTTGTTTAAATGTTCCTTATATTGAGAGATTTGTTCTCAAACTGGGATTTTAAATCACTAGTCTTATGAGACTAGCGCGTTCATCCCTTCCCACCCTGCCCCCACACCCCAAAGGTGGTTGTGATTAGCAGATTTAAAACACAATGGAGCAGGCCTGAATAGCTGTCACAGAGGGCCCTTGTTAGGCCCAGGCTTCTATGGTTCTTGACAGAGAGGCCGCCAGGGGTATGTGTTACAGGCTCCCTCAGGTTCCCCAGCTTGTGAGGGGGATTTGGCTCTTTGGCTTTCAAGCTGGGGCTTAGGAGGGGCTGATTTGGCCCATCTGGCCGCTTGGGGATCCCTTCCTTCCGCGTCATTCTGAATTTGGCCTGCAAAGTGTCAGGTTGGCTGCATATATTTTGAACTCCCCCAAGGACCATCTGGTCTTTCACATTCCGTGTGCCACATTTTTATCAGCCAGCCCTTCCTGAGACTTTGCAGTTCTGTGCTGCAGTGACTTCATAGGAGCTCCTTCAGCAGCACAGCAAGGGCCTCCCTGCTGAGCATCCCCATTTCTGTCCCTCCCCCACAACTCTGTCTGGAATAGCTGGGTTCTGGCCCCAGCTTTTAGTATCAACTTCAAGGTCACTCCCTTACTCAAGCCTCTGGCAACTTAGATGTGTTCTTTCTTCCCTTTGGATTTTGATTTTACTCCCTTAGACCTTTGTAAACCATCCATCCATCCATCCACCCACCCATCCATCCATCCATCCATCCATCCATCCATCCATCCATCCATCCACCATAAAGGTTTATTGATGCTTACCATTTTCCAGCCTTGGGATATGTCCATTAATGAAACCTAGAGCTATTTCCCTCCCTCGTGGAGCTTACATTCTAGTGGAGGGAGATAGCACACACAAGAAGCACAGATAAAAAGTAATGCTTTAGAAGAGGATAAATGAAATGCAATGGGAAAAAGAAAGCCAGAACAGGGCAGAGTTGCCTAGAGGAGGGGGCTAGATGCTGTCAGTGTAAATGGACAGGTCTCAGTGACACTTACACGTCAGCGTGCTGGTCATAGTAATTTGTGTGCATTTCTTTCCTAACCAAAGGACAGGGGCTGCCCAACCTCACCACTTTTCTTTTGGTAGCACTTGGCATAAAAAGGCCTTGGCTATAGAGTAATAATTGGTAAAACAAAAGTAAATACATAAAAATGAATTTGAGGAACAAATCAATAAAGCCATTTACTATTTTTGGTTTTTCTTGTCTTTTAAAAAGACTTTATCGGGCTGGAGAGATGGCTCAGTGGTCTAAAGCAGCTACTTGGAACAAGCTTGGCAAAACACAAGGACCGCGGTTCGATCCTTCAGCACCACATGCCAGCCAGCCTCGCACCCTGGTGGGCTGAGCTGGCCACACACACACACAATAAATAAATGTAATAAATAAATAATTAAAAAAAAATAAAAATAAAAAGACTTTATGATGAATCTGTGCTTAACCAGCTGAAATTCCTTATTTACTTATTCTTTTCAAGCAGAAATTTGTCTTGTGCGCGGACTAATAGTGCCTGCTTTGGCAAAGCTGGAGTTCAATCCCCAGCCTGCTGTGCTGGCCCGGCCCCCAGGGTGCACTGAGAGGGCAATGGGGACTGGGCTTGGTGGCATGTGCCTGTAATCCCAGCTATTGGTAAGCTGAAAACAGGAGAATCACTATGAGTCTGATCTACATAGTGAGACCCTGTCCACCCTATAGACCCTGTCCTAAATTCATAAAAAAAGAAAGACAGAAAGGAATTTGCCTTGGTCTCATCAAGGACAGGGTTTTGGAAAGTCCTGATTAGTGTCTGTATTGGTTAGCTTTTCATCTCTATAATATATACTTGAGTTAATTAACTTTGAGAAAAGAGTTATTTTAGCTGATAGTTTTGGAGGTTTCAGCCAGTGCTTGATGGGCCGCATTGTTTTGGTCAGGTAAGGTGAGGCAGCTTCTTCTTACAGGAGCAAGTGACAGAGGAGAGCTGTGTGCACCAGGAGCCAGGCAGCAGAGGAGAAAGAGGAGGAAGCTGGAGTCTCACAGCCTTGCAGCATGCCCCAGGACCTAAGCACCTCACACTAGGCCTCTCCCCTCAAAGGCTCCACTGCTCTGGAATGCTGCCACTCTGAGGACCAAGACTGTATTTGACCTGTGGGCTTGTGAGGGCCACTCGACAATGAAACCATAGGATTCCTAAAATAACATTTGTACACAGAAGACTGCAGTTTTAAGATAGAAATTTCAGCTTCATTTAGCAAGGCACAGAGGAGCATGGTTGCGATTGCTATTCTGGCCAGCTTTTTGTGCTGCAAGAATCATCTGTAAAAATAAATAATTTTTGGCAACTAAATAGGGAAAAATGTTTCAGGAGTATGTTTTATTATCAACTCGCCACACACACACTAAAAAATCCTGAAGAGTTCCTTGGCAGCCTCCAGACTTCATTAGCTTACAGTTTGCCTTGTGTATCAGGGGTGTCTATCACAGTACCCCTGTCAGAATTTCTCCTGACAACCTGGCATCAGTTGTGCAGATAAGGAAGTCACCTGAACCAACCTGTGCTACACGCCCTTTCAGTTTTTACCTGAGGTTTAGCAGTTAGGGGAATCAATGTGGACTACCTTTCTTAGCTGTAATGATACAGCTGCATTGAATTTTAACAAATGGAGTAGGCATGGTGCACATAGCCACAGTTACCCAGGAGGCAGTGAGGTTACAAGTTCAAGCACAGCCTAAGAAATTTAGCACTTAGAGATTGGGTGTGGGGGTTCACACCTGTAATCCTAGTGCTGGGGAGGCTGAAAATAGGAGGATCACTACAAGTCCAAGCTGGGTAGTAAGACCCTGTACCAAATATGCATGTACATATGTATGTGTGTGTGTGCGTGCACACACACAGAAAAGAAAAGAAAAGAAAAGAAAAGAAAAGAAATTTAGCACTTCATGCAGTAGTTCAGGGTCAGTACTATCATTTCCCAGTCTCTACAATCATGGCAATCACTTGGGTTCCAGGCAGCTTAGGGATAATTTCAGGAGCTCAGAAGAACTCTCTTCTTTAGACAAAGCTTCCTCCCTTTTACCTTCTTTCTACATGAGGCTTCTGGGTAAGGTTTCTCTTGAAGGAAGAGCTCTGTAATGTCAGAAAAGTTCGGAAGCCATTGATCTCAAAGGGTTTTTGCAAATGAGAATAAACAGCTGTGTTTGTTTGGACACGCAGGCGGCAGTCTGTGACTGTGAAGATGACCAGCCATGGAGTGCTCAGGGCCATCGTGTGCTGATGCGTGGCTCGGAGGGGGCACACAGCATGGCCAGAAGTACTTGCATGGGCTGGTTTGAACCAGATGGACTGAAATGTACCACAGAAACCTTTGAGCTCTGTTGAGATTTGGGGTGGCTTTTAAAGCTGGGGATTCCTAAAACCTTTCATTGTTTGCCTCTGTAACTCTCATGATGGAAACTAAAAGTGATGCCCCATAAGTCATGGTTCTTTCTTCTCTGTCTTCACTTTTTAGTGCACTTACATTTCAATCGACCAAGTTCCAAGGACCCATGCCATAGTGATAAGCAGACCTGCCTGGCTGTGGGGGGCGGAAATGGGAGCGAATGAACACGGAGTGTGCATAGCCAACGAGGCCATCAATGCCCGAGAACCGGCCGCTGAGACGGAAGCCTTCCTGGGGATGGATCTGGTCAGGTACTATGTGGTAATTTTTTTGAAATAATTGCCCAGAATATGTTGAAAATGAGGGCAAGATTTATTTTCTCCTAAACCTCATATTTGGTAAAAGTTCTTCTAAAGATGATACGTACCCTTGGATGGAAACTTTGAGATGATGGGGGAAAAAAAGTAGGTTAGAACGGAATATTATTCAAAGTTAAACACATACTGCTATGTGGTACAATATGATGATCTTTTTTTTTTCTCTTGAGACAGGGTCTCACTATGTAGCTCAGGCTGGCCTTGGACTCACTGTGTAGGCCAGGCTGGCCTCCAGCACAGGGCAGTCCTCCTGCCTCAGCCTCCCGAGTTCTGGGAGCATAGGCTGTGCCACACCTGGTCCAACCTAACAGTCTTGTAACATACTAAGTGAGGGAAACCAGTCACAAAAGTCATACATTGTATGATTGTGTATAAATTATACAGAAGATGAAAGTCCATAAAGGCAGAAAGTGAATTAATGGTTGCCTAGAGTTGGGCTTGGGATGGGAGAGTAGACAGTGATTCCTACTGGGCATAGGGTTTCTTTTGGGGGTGCTGGAATGTTCTAAATTCAGGTCATGGTGATGCTTGCACAATTTTGGGGTTAGACTAAAACTCATTGAGCTGTGTAGTTTAAATGGGTGAATTTTAATGGTGTTTGAAATATGTCAAGATATGTAAAAATATGTAAATAGATAAAAGAACAGATCCCTTTCTTCTCCTTCTGCATCTCAGTTGTCTTTTCCTCCTTTCCCTCCCCTCCTGAACACCGTGAACCAGAGAGAGCAGGGTGCAGAAGCTGGATGAGGCAGGGACCTTCAGCTCTTTATTAACCCTTTACTGCAAGCCCTGGGAACTGTGCCTGGTGTGTAATAGGTGCTGAGTAGCTGAATTTTGAGTGAAAGACTAAAGTAGAGGGTGGGTAGGACAAAAAGACCTCTGAAATGACTTTTTTTTTTTTTTTAACTGAAACAATGACACGGAATCCTAACATAGCTGAATGAAGATGGGGCTGAGCTGGTCTTCACTTTTGTGTGGGTGTGCCAAGTTAAGTCTCCTCTCTGGCCCAACTTCCTGTCGGTGTTCAATGTGAGGCCTTAATCCAATGACTTCCAAAGACCTTTCCAAAATTAATTTCCTTGAAAAGCAATAGAAGGTTTGGCACTGGTTTTGTAGGAGGAAATTGCACGTTTAGGCAGAGGCCTATGCAGCTCACTACTTCTGCCAATCAATGCATCTGCCTGGTAGCAACCTCAATTAGGTAGTATATTGCCTTTAGGCCTTCCTTGTTATTCGTGGTTCTCATAAACTCCATACAGCATTCCTAAGCTGGGAAAAGGCAAAAATAGCTTCTTATTTACAGCCACTTTGCTCTTGACTAACAGAATAAAGTGTAAGAATAACGACAGGTTTTGAATTTAGTTTTCTTTTCTTTATGTATTTGGTATAGGGTCTCACTACACAGCTCAGACTCGTAGCAATCCTCCTGTCTCAGCCTCCCAGCACTGGGATTAGAGGTGTGGGCCACCACGCCTGGTCTCCTGGGCTGGCTCAGTGGGCCCTGGGGTTGGACCAGCATGGTATATGGTACTGGGGATCGAACCCTGGTCCTTGTGCTTGCCTAAGCAGGCACTTAGTCCCCTGAGCTATCTTGCTGGGCCCTTTGAATTTATGTTTTGATTGCTCTTCAAATATTTTTTTTTGGCATTTGTACTAAATAGAAATCCTGAAAGTGAAGAATTAGTAATGAAAGAATATGCTTTTGAAATTGCTCAGTTTATAACTTGTGTTCTGAGTTATGTTTGTAATCTGAAGCTTACAAACTGACAAAAAAAATCACCATTTTAACAGTTAACTTCTAAAGGATGATGGAAAAAATGCTTTTCTCTTTCAAACCTCAGTTATCTTTTCAAGATTATCAACCAAAAAAGCAACTGAGTTTTTCTGAATATCTCCTTTTTGCCAGACTCTGTGACTTGTAAAGGAGCTTAAAACTTCAAAGAGATTTTTAGTCTGGTTGGAGGGAAAAGACAGAAAATTGAGCAGTGCAGGTTTTATGACTGGTTTCATAGATGACAGTAGGAGGGAGATGTGGTGTCATGTGAACAGCACAGAGAGTCCCAGGCCCTGGTGTTCAGCATGCACTGCTGGGTGTTCAGAGTTTGCCCAGACTAGGCACATCTGGGATGCTCTGGGGAGGTGTGTTGGACTTGGATCTTCAGTACTAAAGGATGGAGACAGAGAAGGCATATTTGGCACATACTTGGTATTGTGATAGGAAGGTCTGGAATAATGACAGATGTACGGAGGAGATGACAGGGTGATAGCTGAACATTAGTCATTTAATTCATCTCATTCCCTGGCTGGCCTGTCTTGCTCTTGTAAAAAAAAAAAAGGGTGTGAAGAGAACCCACTACTGGCAGGTTCCTGGAAGAGGAAAGTGGAACACAGGTTGTCTGCGCCTCTGGTGGATGTTGGTGCTCAACTTCCGGTTTCAGCTGTAAACCAGCTGTAGTTAGTTCACTCAAGCCTAATCAGAACACAAGGGACTGTTTCAGATTAACCAAATCCTACAGGTGACTTCTGACCTGGAAGGCCTCTTGTGTTAATTTCCAGGATGCTCTAGAAAGCTTAGTTTGACCAGTTGGGTTCTGGAGCAGTGGTTGTGACAGCCAACAGGTGTGGTCTGGAAACCTGTTAGAAATGCAGATTCTCAGGCCCTACCCCACACTTATTGAATCTGGTAGCCTGTTTTATCCAGACCTCCCAGTGTGGCTGATGCACAAAGCAAGCTGAAAAGCATTGCTTCAGGAGGACCTTGCTATGGATTGCTTGCATTTTCTCAGTTTTGGGGTCAGTATCTTCCTAGGTATTGGTGTCTGAGGTATCTCTATTTCCTCTGCGCTTACTTGTCCTGATAGAATGTCCTTCTTTCCTAGACTACTCCTGGGAGAGTTGGCTGTTTACATTTTGCAGTCTACTTCAGTTGTGTTTTGGACTGTGGCCAATGGTTAAGAGAACACAGTATTTTCCCCATAGGTACCCCGGGCCTTTGTGATTTCCATCCACACGTGAAATCCACCTGCAGTTCAAGGAGACATCAATGAATGACAGCAGCATTTTAATAGGCCCAGATGGTTGGAACAGAGGCCTGGTAAATGTCTAGAGGAGGGAGGGACCCATTTACAACTAGGATTTCCCTAACATTCTAGGAAGATATACTCTGTATTATTTCATTTAACTCTCACAGCAACCTAATGAAGTAGATGTGCTTACCTGCATTTGAAGCTTAGGGAGATTAAAAAGGCCCAGAAGGTAGTGAGTGAGTCAGGGCTACCAGGTCCGCTGACCAGGGAGGGGAGGCAGCACACCCTATATTAGATTTCACTCTACTTCTTTTAATGAAATGGAAAGCAAGATTCTGAGAGATGGAGATGAGTCAAAAGGCTTCATACACTCTTCACCATGTCAAAAGACAAAGTGATAATACATTTTTTTAGGAGGTCAAGTTGGCATTTACTCATGATGCATGAATCATAGCAGCCTTAATTCTAAAAAATAGAATAAGACCTCCTGCCAGGTAATAAAGGAACAGTGACTTTTATAAAATGGAAAAAAAATAGAACCCAACAGTAGGAAAAAACCAAACCTGATAGGTTTCCACTAGGTCACTTCAGGTTCCTTTTTTTTTTTTTGGTAAGAGTTAAAATAGAAGAGGCTTCCTTACTGTGTTGACTAAAGTAGATTTTTTTCTTGTTGCTTTTGTTTTGTTTTTACAAAAAACTAGTCTATTGGAGTTTTCTGCTTCCTTAAGGGGGCATTGAGCATGAGTGACTATTTTGGGCTGGTCAGATTTGTAGGGTCCTAGTGCAAGGCCTCAGGCAAAAGCAATTAAGTTCTATAATTTTTAACACATCAAATCATCTACTTCATTTTCTTCTTACATTAACATCTCACCTTCTTTGTTTTGGGTGCTATAAGAAATATGCCATAGACTGAGGTTTAAATGACATATGTTTATTTCTCAGTTCTGGAAGCTGAGTTTGAGGTCAGGATGCTAGAAGACCCTGTGTCTGGTGAGGACTCATGTTCTTGGCCACAGATGGCCGTCCACTATTTGTGCCCAGCGTGGCAAATGGCAGAAGGGGACAGGCTCTCTTTGCTGTTGTCATTTTGGCTTTTGGGTTTATTTATTTATTTATTCATTGAGAAAAAGTCTTGGTGTGTAGTCCAGGCTGACCTTGAACTCACTGTGACCCTCTTGCCTCTGCCTCAAGATTGCTAGGACTACCATGCCCACCTCCAGACTATTTTCTTATAGAAACCTTAATCCCCTCCTGAGGGCTCCATCTCATGATTTAGTTCTTCATGACCTCTCAAAGGCCCCACCTCTAAATATCATCACACTGGGGATTGGCCTCAGTACAGGAGTGCTGAGGGGGACGCACACATCATTCCACAGCATTACCTCCCTGCTTCCCACCCTCTGACTGAACAGTTGGAATCCTTTAATATCCAAAAGGCTACGAGCCCAGAGAGGCCTTGTAGAATTGTTGCTTGTGGGGAGAAAGGACAGTAATTTCCAGATGACCCCTGTAAGAAAAGAGGCTTGTCCCTTCAAGGAGAGAGGATTGACTATTTTCATTATTTTCTGCAGGGCAGCAATTATATATCCACAGAAAACCTAGTTCTAACTTAGTTTAACTTATATGGGATAAAAATGGATAGGATCCCCCTAGGCTATCAGTCAGAGTTCCTAAACAAAAATGGAGATATTTCTCATCTTCTTTAGTGAGCTGTGTCTACTTTTTGGGAACTGGCAGGATGTGCTAGACATACCTGTGAGAAGGCCACAGAGCCAAATACAGAGGTTTCTGTAAAACTAAGAATTGAATTCCGGGCATCTGACACCCAGACACAGAATAACATGGAGAAAGCATGCACTTTAGAAGCACTTGAACTGCACAGGGGGTAGATGTTAGAGTGAGATTATAACCTCGGCCCCTTTAGTCTCATCTCTTCCTCTGTCCTGGTCCTGCTTGGGTTAAGCCAAAGTGAATTTAGAATCACGTGAATTCACCCCATCTGGGATGTGAAAAGTTGGGAACATCTTCAACATGGCCTTTTAGGTGTTGGGTAGCGTGTGGTTGGGTGCCCGTAGGCTGATCTCTCTGGCATCTCCTCAATGCCTAGTGATGCGGGGTTCAGCTGCATCTCTCAGTCTTGGGTGGAGAGCTTGTAACTCTGCTATTCTTCATGATGTCTGTGCTTTGGAGAGGGCCAGTCTGGCCTCATCGCATGGCCAGGAGACCAGACATGAGTATCTTTTTCAGATCAGTCATGGGCGTGAGGGTCTAGGGAGTATCTTTTACTCCAGATCCATCAGAATTATGTCTGTAGGGTGGGTGCTGAGTTCCTACTCTGCCTGGAGGGCATCAAGATCAGGGTGGAGGCCAAGTATAATGGGGGTCTCAGTGGACCTAAACAAGCAGCACATCAGGAGAGAGAATTGGAAACTACAGAAGAGAAATTGCAACTTCCACAGATGGGGCTGTTGCACAAGGCCCGGTAGCCATATGTTTCTAGCACACATTCATATGGGTACCCTGGTGCTCCTTGAAGGCCATAGGGCAGGGATCTTCCTGGAATGTGTTTATGGGGCCTTGTGATCAGGGCCCCTGCAAGATGCTCAGCTCTGGGTGATGAGATGTCTCACAGTGTACTTGTTTGCTCCTTATCCTCAAGATAGTAAGCCCATTTGCTTTTGCTAGTCCTCTTTGGAGAAGACAACATTTCCAAGGGAAAAGTCTACGTACTTTGATGTGTCAATGGATTGATAGATTTTTTTCATGTCAGATGGATAATGAGCCAATGGCGCAACAAGATTTGAAGTAGGCATATCTCACACAGCAGTATGGAAACCCAGTTATGCTTACGGGGCACAAAAGGATCAGGTTTATTTTTTTTTTATCACTCCCCTAGGGCTTAGGATCTAGCTTTGTAAATCTCAGCTTTGTAACCACGTCTTTCTAAGCAAGCTAAAAATGAGAAATGTCAAGTGAATTTGTACATAGTGATCCAATTAAAATAAAAATCCAGTTATGAGACTAAATCCATAGATTATAGTTTCATCATTTTTTCTTCTCTGTGACAGCACCATGGAATGTCCCTTCAGGAAGTATTGAATTGGGTGAATCTTAGTAGCTGTTAGTTTTAAAGCTGAAGAATTTGCCAGGAAGAGGCTTATACCACCATCTTGGTAACTCTGTTGTCCCTGTTCTAAGACTTTAGCTCTTGCCAGCAGAATTAGAATTGGAAGCGCTTATTGTTCAGTGGAATAAGTGCTTCCCTGGCAAGCGCAAGGGCCTGAGTTCAATCCCTGGTTCTGAAAAAAAAAAAAAAAAAAAGAATTAGATTTGGAATGAACAGATGAGTAAATGAACTGAGTACTTATTGCCGTCCTCTTCCATATCCGTCTCAGAGGGAAGCAGTACCATTTTACTTTATCAATAGGGAACTAAAAAGTTGGAAGACCACATTACTTAAGAAAGTGTGGAAAGTGTGGAAATATGTAGAAAAGGGACCGATCATGTCCTAATCAGCACCCATTCCTAATGAGTCCTCGGAGCAAATTATATGCATACAGCACAATGGCCAGTAAGCAGTCTTATTACTATCTTAGGCTGTTCAGGCTGCTTTAACAAACACCATTAAAAAGGATGGCTTGCAAAGAGCATAAATTGCTTGCACTTGTGGAAGCTTGGAAGCCCATGATCAAGGTGCTAGCATTTTGTGTGTGTGGGCAGGGCAGAGATTTCTTTTTCTGTTTTTCCATAATTTTATTGAGAAGCAAATAGCAATGAGACAGTTTCAAACCAAATTGGTAGGACAGTTTCAATAATTAACACATTGCATATATTCTTCCTAGTGGTTATTTGCTGTACAAGATGTGGACATGATATCCTATTTACAAACACTATTAGAACAAATCTCTCTATTCATTAAGAGAATGTAACTATATATCTATCCTAACCACTTTGAATACACAGATGCAAAATGGACATTCATCTGTATCCCCCTTTTTTTGTTAAGTTCCATTATTTGAGTATTATAGGTGTATAAACTCAGCAAAATATTCTAAAAGAGTTCAGTAGTCCATAATAGTATTGGGTCTTCCACTTCACTGGCAATGTCAGAAATTGTTGACCTGAGTCCACTACAGCTCAACATAGCACCATGGCTTTATTTCTTATACTTCAGTTTTATACTTTTCTGCTGGATGGTTAAGACCAAGGTAAAGCAGGACCTATGCAATGAGTTGTAGTTTGCAGACCAAAATTAGAGAAAAAGGAGGGCTGCAAGGAAAGCCAACATTTTGGCCCTAGCCTTCTAAGGTCAATTAAGACTCAGGACATATGAGAACTTGTGCTGTAACGTCATGTAACTCAGTAGTGTCCCAAATTTTCTGATCAAGAAGATTATGGGGCCAAAGAGGAAAGTGATCGATGATGTAGAGTGTGCCTAAGGAGAGTCACATGGGGAGAAAACACTCTCTCAGGCTTTCACAGAGAGCACACTGGCCAAGCAATGGCCGTGACTCATCCACATGGCTGACACTGACAAAGGTTCTACAATCTGAGGTATAGGATCTCAGAATAAATCCTGAGGGGATTTGACTGACCTTATCAGATCCAAAAGAGATCTCTTTTTCTTAGGTTGCAGTCAGGAGGAGGTGTGTGCCATAGTAACGGGGCCTGCCTGACAAGAGAGCCAGCTAAGAAATAGGAAGGGCTGATCTTCTTTTCCAGAGGAAGAAATGAGTAACTTCCCATCTTTTCTGTCTTCCCAGAAAGATGATTTGGAAACATGTTAAACATCCTCATGATTGGTAACTGAATATGTGAGAAAGGTATTTTCAACTAAAGTATGGCTGATCAATTTGCATATTAATCTGCATATTTAGCATTCTTATGCCTGATGGCATGCTTAAGGACTCAGCCTTACTCCAGTCTTTGGTTGCTATGGTAATAATCATGTGGTATGAAATGACAGAGGCACATTTTTCTTTTCTTTACTGCAGGCTTGGTTTAGAAAGAGGGGCAACAGCTAAGGAAGCCTTAGATGTCATTGTCTCCTTGTTGGAAGAACACGGACAAGGTGGGAATTACTATGAAGATGCCAGCTCCTGCCATAGCTTCCAAAGTGCATACCTGATTGTGGATCGTGAGGAAGCCTGGGTGCTTGAGACCGTAGGGAAGTACTGGGCTGCTGAGAAAGTCACGGGTGAGTGGGTGTGCAGGTGGAAGGGTTGAGTGCATTCTTTTTAAGGGTAAAGTTTGGCTGGACATATAGCAGCAGACCCAGACATGCAGGTGTATGCTGAAGTGCTGCCCCTGTCTGAGCTGGCTCCCATGATTAAGCACATTTCTTAGTCATGGACATCTCTGTCCAGATGTGAACCTGAAGTCTCCAAATTCAGAGTGAAGTAATGTTGACCCTGGGGAATGACACTCTGAACGTTTCATATTTCCTATTTGATTCCTGAGAAGGATTCAGTTCTGATCATCAGCTCAATGACTCAAAACCATGACTCAAACCATTACTCTGTCAATTGACCAGGATGTGGTGGCTCTTCATTTATACTATTATGGATCCCTTCAGTGGGAGGTTGTCTCTGGTCACCTTCCAGCCCTGTAGCTCTCTGTGCTTGGAATCTTGCTCTAAAATAGGAGTTAGGGTCTGTGTGAACACTGCTGAATGCCTCGCTGGGCCAACCAGGCAATTTCTCTGTGACATAATGTTCCTGGAAATGCAGAGAACTGGATGAGCCACACAGGATTTAGTGTCTGTAGAACTGCTATGCAGCATCTTGCTTCAGAGACAGCACTGGGGAGGAATTGTTAGAGCCAAGCATGGTGGTCTCAGCATATCACCTCCGTGCCCTCATATTCTAGATAAAAAGGGATCCCAGGATGGGAAAAAGGCCTCCAGGAGGACTAAATAGGTGTAAGAGAGAGTTGGCCTGTGCCGTTCCTCTTACATTCCTCAGGACAGGATGATATACACATGACACGTGTGCTGCCTTTCCCTTTCTGGTGTCTGTGGTAGACATGGCTGGTAGATCACCACATTCTTCTCTTGTTAAGCCTCTATTTGGCCTATGTTTTACCTTGCAACCCTTTTCTGTTAAACAGAAGAGTGAAACATGTTTTCTATCCCTGCCTGACTGCTGTTGGAACCAGATGTGACTTGAGTTAGAAGCAGATCTGCCCCATTTTTACTGGGAGTCATACCTGTTGCCTATTCAAAAAGCCCAGTGATCAGAGTTTGATGGCTGTGTTAAAACCAGTACAAAGTAGCCTCACTGAGGCAGAGAAATTGACTGTGCTTTCTTGGCCAAGCTGTGAAAGCCTGTGTCTCCTTGGAGGAGAAGTTAGTGGCGCCATCAACAGCCGCAGGGAGTGTTCCCACCCTGGTCTGCCCTACATACATCTAGCAGAGTCTTGCCTTGTGTGATTATAGGACAGAGACAGACAACTTAAAACTCCTTTATACAAAGCCCTTCTAAGACAAAGGCTTACTGTCAAGTGGCTCCATCAAGAAGGGTTGTGGGCCATGCTTCAAGGCACTCAGATTGCTTTTAAGTAGACTCTAACACTTTTTGATCTATAGCTACATTTCAAAGGCTAAGCTTCCCTTCTCTGTAATAACTTAAAAAATCCATCTCCACAGAATGAGTATTGTCTTTCACTAAACATTTAAGTAAAAACCCCCAGCCATTTCTTGGACTCATTGATTTCATGTCCTCTGATCCCAGCAACCCATGTGATTGATGGCAGTTGGGTTTAATGCACTCTGTCCTCTAAACGCTGGTTCTTGAAAGCAAATATCTACTATAAATCAGTCCTCTAAGAAAATAACATCCGTGGAGTTGTTTACATGAACTTTTCTTTTTTTGTTAGCTTAGTAAGAATGATGTCAAAAGTCATTTGCTTAGGCCAAAACTATTTTTTAATTGTTTCTAATTGTAATTTTGTAGTGCCCTCTGGAAAAACAAATAGCAAAGGACCATGCCTATCATCCAGAAGTGCTTACTTTAGAAGTGTATATCGTAGAGCAAAATGTACTGGAAGCACTCAGTCTAGCCCCGATCCTGCCTCCAAAGCCTAGGTTTCTGGCAGGAATGGCTTTATTGCATCTTGTAGGCTGAGCTCTGTTCCCCTCACTTTATTCTCCAAGAGCCTAGAAGGTGTCAGCAGGCTCGCTTAGTGCAGCAGCTCCGAATGACCTTTGGGACATAGCACTGTTTAGGCTGCTGTTTGCACCCTGGATAGCATATTGAACTTTGAAGATCAAATCATTCTGTGTATCTGAGCTCATGCTTTGCAGAGCATGTGGTAAGTCTGCTGGCTGATGCGGATTTCTGTCCTAACTCTGTCATCAAAGAAGCATATTCAGAATGCAGACATTTCAGATTCTAGATCTCTTCAGCTATACTTTTGTTTTTATGGGAAAAAAACATTCTCATATATTTTTCACACACACACATGGATACACCCAGACACATACATATGCAAGTACTGTCTGCTATTTTCAAGTGATTCATTCTCATTGCCACTGTGTTGTTCTAAATATTGAGAACTTTAAAAAGCTGAATGAAGAAGCATCTGGTTTGGATTTTTTTTTTTTTTTTTTTTTGTAGAAAACTGTGTATTTGGACAATGAGTGGTATAAAGCGTTCTTCCATGTGTCAAAGAATCAAGGTGGGAACAAGGAGCATGTGGGTGCTATAGAGCATTCCCATGGAGGAATCTCTTACAGATTTCTCTTGTTAGCAGGATATCTCTTTGAAGAAACCTTTCCTTTTTTTTTTTTTTTAAAAGTACTGTGTGCTTGGGGTTTCTCTCGTTGCTGAGAGAAAATACCTGATGCTCAGAATTAAGGAAGGAAAGGTTTATTTAGCCCTCAGTTTGTGGCGCTTTCAGTCTATACACAGCCGGCTGCAAGGCAGAGTGGCACATGGCAGAGGGCAGCAGTTCAAGGCAGAGGGAAAGTAGCAAAAGCAGCAAGAACAAAAAGAGGGGAGCAGCCAGGAGCAAGCCTCTCTCCCTCCCTGCTATTGTATGCAGTCTACCCACCCTGAGGTGAGTGCTGCGCTCGTACCCGTAATCCCAGCATTGGCCCTTGAGTCAGTGATGAACTCTAGAAGCCCACCCCATGACTGCATGAGGCTTTGGTTGGGGGTCAACTAGATATAAACCATAACATTCTCTTTGCTACCCAGCTATGGACTTAAAATCAGAATGCATATCCAAGTAAATGTATTGGCTAGATGGCTTGTTACTTTTGTACCTGAATAGAAGCGCTTCCAAAAATCTCATGGTGGTCCCATTTTATATTTGCTAGTTGTACATATCTTTAGTAAGTCAAACTTTTGACCATTTAGAACTGGTATCAGCAAACTATATCCTATAGCAGGTGCCTGTTTTGTAAATATGTTTTAATATCATTTTCTAGGTAGAATGAAAAGCCTCCCATATCTCTTTTGATCATGAAATCATGACCAGTAATGTTGCTATTCATTTACAATGTGAAAATATCTAGTCAGTACTGTTCAAACCTTTTAAAAGGTCTTTTGTAAGGGGACCAAGCACTGTATTTCTTCCTTCAAAAACTGAACCGATCTTTCCCTGTAAAGTCAGGGTTATGGGAAAAGATTCTCTATAAATTTCCATTTCTTGATTAAGTCTCAATAACTATATTTTCTACTAACTGGGTTTTGCACTCTCTACAGAGGGAGTGAAGTGCATTTGCAACCAACTTTCACTGACCACTAAAATGGACGCGGAGCATCCTGAACTCAGAACTTATGCTCAGAGTCAAGGCTGGTGGACAGGAGAGGACGAGTTCAACTTTTCCCAGGTGTTTTCTCCAGCTGATGACCACCTGGACTGCTGTGCAGGCAGAGAGAGCTTAGAAAAGCAAGAAGGTGCATTTAACCTTTATGACTTTCCTTCCTATACCTGTTGTCTTATGGCAATTCCAGAAAACTGAATTTAGGAGGGTGAACAAAGAGGAAGAGTAGAGAGTAGTGGACTGTGTGGAGTAGCCAACGTGTACCAAAAGCCCCTGGTGTGCTGGCAAGAGGTCAGTTTGTACTTAGTTTTACACAGTGCTCCCTTATCCATGGAGGTTTCTTGTTTCTGTTGATACCATCTCCCCTTTAATCATCAATGTTGTTGTGTTGTCCTTTGTTATACTACGAGAGCCCTCCTCAGAGCTCAGAATTGATATATTTGACTTAGTTTTTTCCTATACATATGTGTATATATATATATATTTTTCCCCCCTTTTTTTCTCCTTGCCCACTCTTATTATCTTTCTGGGCCTTAAGAGCGGATGTCATCTTTTGCTTATCTGAGGTTCCTTTTGTGATCGTGGCGTGGCCCTCTGTTTTATGAATGTTTGTTGAGTTGAATTGTTGTCTTACATTCTCTTCACATTCTATCTGCTACCCAGTCATGGACTTAAAATCAGAATCCATATTTAAGTAAATATATTGGCTAGATGGCTTGTTACTTTTGTATCCAAATAGAACCTCTTCCAAAAATCTCATGGTGGTCACGTTTTGTATTTGCTAGTTGTACAAATATTTAGTAAGTCAAAGTTTTGACCATCTAGAACTGATATCCGCAAACTATATCCTATAGCAGGTGCCTATTTTGTAAATATGATTTAATTAGAAAATGATCACACTATTAGCTTTGTGTCACTGTGACAAAATACCTGACATAAACAACTTATAAGGAAGAACGTTTTAGTTTGATTCATGATTTCAGTTCATGGAAGTTGGTTCCTTGTTGTTGGTTTTGAGGTGAGGCAGGGAAGACATGGTAAGGAAAATGCTCATCTCATGATGGGAAGGAAAGAAAGGTGGGAGGTAGACAGAAGAGAGAGCCAGCGAGCACTGCTGTCCCAATATCCTTCGCTCCTAAGGCTCTGCCTCCTCTCAGTAGAGCAACCGTCTGCTGACTAAGTCTTAATGCATGAGCCTTTGGGAACATTTAGGATCTCACTACCTTTTATTTATGTATCGTTTATAGCTGCTTTGTTATAATGGCAGGGTTGAGCAGTTGCAATGGGCGAGTTGGAAACAATATGGTCCATAAACCTAAAATAGTTCCTATCTGGTTCTTTAAAAAAAGTTTCCTGGCCCTTAATTTAGAAGAATATGTTAAGACTTTTGTTGTAGAACTTCAGTAATGTATTTTGGATGGGAAGGTAAGACAGTTTTCATTTTTAATGGGAACTTCAAAGAAAGCTAGAAGGTTTTAATTAAAAAAACAAACAAACAAACAAAAAAAAAACTAGTTTGATGCAGGTTATTGGATAGTCTTGCCACAATACCAGCCTGAAATCTGATAAGGTTTTAAAATCTAGCTACAAATTTTCAGGAGGTACAGAGGATAGAAGAACACACAGACAAACCAAGGAAGATAGCACCTGTGGAGTCCAGGTTGTGCAAAATGCTGTAGAAAGATTGACCCCATGTTTTTCTGACAAATAAGATACCAGCGGTGGGGAGAAGAGGTGAAGAGATTTTGGAGACATTATGGACTGTTGCTGAATGATTAGTTTTGATTCACTTGAGTACAGGAGAGCTGAGAATGTGGTACAGTGATGGAAGAAGCTGAAAGAGTAGCTAAGATAGAAAATATAGGGTCGGGGGGATGGCTCAGTGGAATAAGCGCTTCCCTGGCAAGC